GGACATTTAATGAAAATATCAAGGGACTTAAATCAGAATATGAAATATAAAAATAGCTCTAAATATGTGACTTGTTGTAACAAATATAAAACCCATTAAGTAATCAAGTATATTTTTAAAAGTTGAAAAACATATATAATGAAACACGATAATAATTCCCTTACTGTATAAAGTTAACTTTCTATTGTATTCCGATGTGGTAAACCACTTTCACTGTAGAAAAAAAATAACATCAATGAAGATATAAATAACTTCCATTAAACGGTGACTGTTGCCTTATTTCAGAAACCTTTGATTTAAATCTTCAGAATACTGTTACGACAGCGGAAGTCACGTGATTCTGGTAACACGTGATGAGTTTCTAGAAGGATCGGGGAACATCACGAATAATCCAGTATTTGCTAGACGCCCTCTATTCTTGTATATATAAGCGCGCCAGATAAAGCGAGACAATTAATCGGAAAAGAATTGCAGACAGACAGAGACGAACAATTGAGTCAAGCGCGATAGTGACCGTAAGTAAAGTGCGTGAAATTATAGCGTGTGTTTAAGTTAAAATGACTGTGGAAATTAAGTGTATTGTAAAGTCGAGTTGAGAAAGAATAAACTAGTTTTATTTAAGAAAGGACTTGTATCGCTGAAGTTTCTCGGAAACAATTTCTACGGAAAATTAACAAACGAACACAGAGACGTAACAATACTAAAATATTACTGTAGATATTATGAAATAATCTACAGGTATTATCATTAAAATACTTCATTTAAACACTATTAAGATCGACTCACTTACCGATGAAGAAACAAAAATAGCGCGTTAATTCGATGGATCTTTGGGGTTTTAATTTATTATTCTGTTTAATCAAGAGTATTTGCATAAATACCTTACCAGTGTTGTCGTATCAGCTCAAAGCTAATGTGTGTTTCGTAGTCTAGTATTAGGTGGCCATATTAAATGCTTATTCTTAATATATTTATATTAAATGATGAGAAGTACTTAGGCCTATCCTCATCATGTATACATTAGCGATCTAATTCACATAGAAGGCCATTTTTGAGCCAATTTTTCGCAAAATAATTTAGCGAATTATGTAGGAGTCTATCAGAGACAGCTTGTATATTTGTATAATTGTGTTTTGGCGTGTCTATCCATGTCGGGGATAAATATTAAACTACTGGAAGTATGTATGTTTTGTTGAAGTTCCGTTATTTTTTTTTCCCCGTTAGATTTCCTGGCATAATTCGTACGTTGCCAAACATTTTTAGAATATTATTTGTGTGTTTAACCCACGTTAATTTAGAAACGTAGGTTAATCCTAGAAACTTAGCTGATGTTGTGGTCTGGAGAAGTGTTTCATTCATGTATAGTTTGGATGGGTCATTTTATGAGTTTTGTTAGTTTTGCGAATTCTACCAATTGAGTTTTGGGGACGTTTATTTTAATACGGTATTTTTGGCAATATTCTACGATATTATTTAATTTGGGTTGTTGTTTGTTGTTGCTATTGAGGGTGTAGGAGCACTTCTCCAGACTACAGCATCATCAGTAAATTGTGAAGAAAAGCCTGGATTTGGATCCTTAAGGGGCATATTACTTACGTACATGATGAATAAGATAGGGATGGCCAAGTGGTTAGGGCGCTCGACTCGCAATCTGAGGGTCGCGGGTTCGAATCCCCATCCTACCAAACTTGCTCGCCCTTTCAGCTGTGGGGGCCTTAAAATGTGACGGTCAATCCCACTATTCGTTAATAAAAGAGTAGCCCAAGAGTTGGCGGTGTGTGGTGATGACTAGCTGCCTTCCCTCTAGTCTGACACTGCTAAATTAGGGACGGCTAGCGCAGATAGCCCTCGTGTAGCTTTGCGCGAAATTCAAACAAACAAACAAGATAGGGTTAACTACCCCTCGTTGAGGGACATCTGCCTCTGGAGTAAATGACTCCGAGAAGGTTCTCTCTACTTTTATTTTACATTTTCTGTTGTCCAGAAAGTTTGATAGCCAGCGAATAATACTGCACGTTAGTTCCATTAGTGACAGACGGAACCTCATACCATTGTGCCAGACAGCGTCGAACACTTTCGAGATGTCGAGAAAACATGCACCAGTGCATTCTTTATTATTAAAACTATCTATGATTGCTTCTGTTGGTCTAAGTTTGAATTTTCTAAATCATTTTGTATTTCTGGTAGTTTCGAAGTGATCTCCAAGATTATTCTTTTTAAAATTTTGCCTATACAGCTGGTCAGGCTGATCGGGCGGTAACTATTCGGTTTATTCACTGGCTTCATATCTTTGTGGAACATTAGTAAAACCCTTGTTTCCAAGAGACAGGGACGTATTCAGAGTTTAGTGATAGGTTAAAAAGGGCTGTTAAATGTTCAAACAATCTCTGAGTGCCTTTTTTCAGGAGGATAGCCTGAATTGCCATCTTCTTCTGGAGCTTTGTTTCTGTTCCTTTAATCGCTTGTTTAACTTCTATTTCCGTTATGTTTTTTGTCATCTGATGTGTTGCATGATTCTCGTTTGTGATATCATTTATTTGATCATTTTGTACGTTAGCAGGGAATTGCGGTGTGTGTACGATTTTTGTTTTGTGTTACGTAGTTGTTCACCTCGTTAAAGAAATGTGTATTCATGTCTGGTTCATGGTGTGTCCGTAAAGTGTGTTGTAAGTGCTCTTTAAATGTTTCCGCCTTTTCAAAGTTATTGTGTGCCAAATTGTTACGTGTTTCTAGAGGTGGGTAATTTCCATTGGTGTTTCCTGTATTTGTGAATCGTTTTAAGTGTGTTAAGAATTGTTTTGGGTCGGTTGTTTCGTTTAATAGTGACCAGAAATGATCTCAACTATCTTATTTTTGTTCTTGGACTTTTCTGAGTGTATTTATTTGTTTTTTAACTGTGGGATTTCTATTTTGCATGTATTAGTAAGCTTTTAAGTCTTTTTTTTTATATCATTGTTATTAGTTGTGTGTGTGACGTCGATAATTCTTCATAGCCTACTAATTCAAAATTAAGGACGTTTAGCGCAGATGGCGCTTGTATAGATACGAATATCCATCAACAACCAATCATCTAACGGAATATAATTTATAGTTTTTTTTTGTTAATCTATGATGACAGAACTGTGGTTTTACTGTACGATGTTTCGCTTTGTATTGTGACAGTGTTTAACATATATGAATACACGAGCATGTACACGTTCTAGTGTTACATTGACTATTATTGATGGACTTACAAATGTGGCCAGAGTACGTTAGAAATAAGCTCCTCCCATCAAAATATGACGGACCCCCTGTAGCACTATCATGTCGATGGTTTATTTAATATATGAAATCATTGTTTCGAGTTGAAAAAGCATACAAATATGTTAAAATAATGCACAAGCTATATCACATCTAATGGGTGTATTTTACAACTTGCCATGCACGAATCGCCTTTTCAATATCACTCTCGCGGCAGTAAATTGTGGCTTGACATTCCATTGCTATAAATCTTTCCATTTACTAGAGACATTTCACAAAACTGGAAATTAAGATTAGAAGTACTGTATTAGTGTCGTAGAGAGCAGGGAGGTTCGGCCCCCACTTTTCAATTTGTTTCAGTATAAATTAGGAAAAATTACCCTCAGAAAAAGGAGAATATACAAGAGCTTCCAGGGTCCTAAGGCGAACCTTGGACCCTCTTTTAATTTGCCTCCCACACCTATGTATGTATATATTCGATGAATTTCGTTAAACTTCTTATTTCTAGGCAGCCGAAAACTAATAATTTTGGGCATGTTTTTCACCACCTAATATTATGTTGGCTAGATTTCGTCTTTATGAATAAGTTTAGACACGTTATGACGTCATCAATTCACAATCATAAATACAAGGTATCATAAAATATTAAATACTGATGAAACAAAATCATGGAATGGGGTATAAGCATCTTAATATATCGCTATGTCCTTATAGTCACCAGCTAAGCAAAATTTATAGTTAGGCTTGCGAATAAACTATTTAGTTAGTCTGTTTGTTTTTAGCGCCTACCTATACTACGAACTTTCTGCGACCTGTCCACCACGGAGAATCGAACCCTGGATTTTAGTGTTGTAGGGGCATAAACTTACCATTGACCCATTATTTATTTGTCTAAACCTTCATCTGATAAAAGTCTGTATGTGTGTCCCCTTTTAACTGACGAACCTCTAGACCAGTTCTTACCAAACCTTAGGGCTCCCGTTAAGGTCAGCATTCACATATGAACCCCCTTACATCTTCCTCGTGCGTTAAAACGGTACGTCAGCTAGTATGTATTAATAATAATATACTGATTTTTAAATTAAATTAAACACGTATCTAAATCAGAGATGCGAATATGGTTTTTGTTTTCCCAAAGCGTCTTAATTCATACTGCTTTAATATTCCTTTCTTAATGTTAACACATTTCACATAAATTTGACAGCGCTTAATGACGTAAATGAATGAGTAACTTACGATGTTGTTTCTGTCTTAAAATTACATAAAACACATCGCGAGTTTATAACAATCGCGATACCGTAAATCTATTATAGTAATACTCACTTTTTGTCTGTCCTGAAAATGCGCGCGCACTTCATTTCGACGGATGTAAACAAAAGGCGGATGTAAATATATTTTTTGAACAACAACAACAGAGCTTATCACAGTTTTTAAAAAGATCTAACTTTAGGTCATAGAATAACATTATAAGTTTATTTATTGATAGTATTAAGTACGTTAAAGTTTAGCCCTAACTAAATTAAAGCAAAAAATGCACAAAAGTTACATTGTTAATTTGTCTCTTTATAATATAGGCCATACTTAATAAAGGCTTAACTCATGCTAGGCCTAAGTCAAGCGGACTCGTAGATTTCGGTTTCTGCGAATTGTTTTGTATTATTCTAGAAATCCTGTATTTAAAAAGTACTGTTACAATAAATATACTAATTTGACTGCATATGTTTTGCTAGTAATGAAACAATACAAATAATTGCTTCAAATATCAGTTTATTGAATATATTATAGTACACAAATAAATCAGTTTTAATTTTATAATACACAGAAAGACAATAGACTTTTCATCCCCTCATCTCGTCACGTGTCATCATCACCCAGTCAGTGTTTTTCTATATTGTCGTTCCCGTTAGCTGCAAATAAGATATATCAAAAAATGATTAAATATTATAGGTAAAATACTCTTATTGTAAATATTTTTACCAGTTGTTGTTTTTTGTTTTATTTTTTCAGGAATTGGAAAGTTACCTTTGGATGAGGAGACATTGTCCATAGCCGTAAAAATAGAAAAAGAGAAAGAGAAAAAAAGAAAGACATTCATTATACATCATAAATAATTTTTCAGGGGTTGGACAGTTACCTTTGGATAAGTCAGTGTTTATAGCCATAGCCACCGTAGCCAAGACCATAGCCATATCCAAGACCATAACCACCGTAGCCGTGTCCAAGACCATAACCGCCATGACCGAGTCCAAGACCATAACCGCCATAGCCGAGTCCAAGACCATAACCGCCATAGCCGTGGCCAAGACCATAACCGTGACCATGGTTAATCGTAGTAGCATAGTTGAAACGACGACCAACAGGATAACCGTACCCGTAACCTCCATAATGACCATAGCCTACGGGACCAGCAAGGTAGCCAGCCATGGCGGTAGCCACGAGGGCGAAGAAAGCGATAGCCACCTGGAAGAAGAATAATGAACTAAACATGTAAAACTAACTTAAAATTGTACATGAAGTATTTGAAACGAAATATAAATTCATAGCAGCTTCATCAAAGTTTTTTGTTTGTTTTTTGTAACAATCTTTTTAGAATAAGAAGTTTTGAAACTTACTAGAGTTTTCATGGTATTATAGACGAAATGAAGCTTTCAAAACTTACCAAAGTTTTCATGATATTATAGACGAAATGAGGCTTTCAAAACTTACCAAAGTTTTCATGGTATTATAGACGATATGAGGCTTTTCCACTATGGAACGAATATGTAACAACCTGTGTGCCTTCCGTTCCTTTTATACCAGAGAAAATTGTTCTAAAAATTTACCTGTCGCATATGAGCGGTCGAAAACTGGGTCAAAATTTTTACCTATCGTCCAGTGCTGGCACCAAGGCCAAGTAAATACATAAATGCTGTCCACTTCGTACAACCAACACGAACTGTGGGAGTTGAAGGGTGTGTCCAAGGTCAGTCAATCTCATTTTTACGGGTACTAGAACATCAGGTTCGCCGTACGATCGTGTACCGTTTGCTTATAGCAAAGTAAACGTTACTCAGCTGTGACAAGCGAGAGAAGTGCTGCCGTGAGATATTACACAACGTACCGTATCTGAGTTTGTTAGGTCACGGCTAGCTTACGTCGACTGAGAGCGAATATGTTCTAGTATAATCGGGGGTTGTACCCTAAATCCAATTTGGTTTTTGCCTAGTGAAAACTGACACGCCAAGGTTAAATATTACCGCGTTTTTCTTGTAAATATTATCTGTACGGAAAGAATTTTTTTTCTTTTTAAATATTAACCCAATTTCTTGAAGTGTTTTATTTATTTATGTAAATACCCTCCAGTGGCTCAGCGAAAAGTCTCAAGATTATAGTGCTAAAAAGCGGGTTTCAATATCCCTGGTAGGCACAGCACGGATAGCCCATTGAGTAGCTTTGTGCTTAATGGCAAACAAACAAAACCCAGGGCAACTGTTTGTGTGTCTGTGTCTGTGGGAGGGGGGGGGGGGTAATACAGTTGTATCTTACAACCAATCGAAAACAAAAACAGTAATATGTTAGACGTAAATTACGAAGAAAACGATTAACATAAGATATCGTATTCAAATATATATATATAATACTGTTTAAGTTCGCTTGTTCGTTTTGTGTTCATGTATTTAGCCGCTTTATCATTCCTAACTTGTCACTAAATATTTGATACGTTTGCATGGATTAGATAGAAACAAAAATAAATCTGAAATACTCTTGTCTCGCTTGTGTGGTTAGCTTGCCGAACTGTGGATTCATGGTTAGTGTCCCGTTACCGACATTATAAGAGTGACGATGAACTCCCATTATTTTATTAGAGTAGACGGTGGGTGGTGTTGACTAGCTTACCTTTCCTTTTGGGTCAGGGCTGGAGCTGGGCAATGCAAAGCCTAGTTTCAGTAAAAATTATAAGCCCCTTATCCACTCCTTGCATAGAATGTCACCCTCTTTCTCCCTGTGGATCATTCGGGAGTTCCTGCACATAAAGTCAGCCTAAGGTTATTGTTATTATGATATGTATGATAAATCCAAACAGATGTAACAAGCTTTCTTACCACATAATATTTTTGTTTTCTTCTTATGGTTTAGTAAAAAAAAAAACGAAACAAAAAATTTACTTTATTGAATAGTTTATCTCTCCCTTATATGGATTTTCTGGGTAAGTCATAAAAAACAAAGTATTCACACGCATGTGATGTAAAAAAAAAATTATGCTTATATAGTTATAGCACAGCTACAAGGTCTACATTGTTCTGATGAAGCATCAGCATCTTTTTGGCTTGAAATAGTCGCATGTTCCCAAACCCCTTCACACGATATGTGTTGATTTTTGACCTCACGAATAAAAAAAAAAACCTTTCACACATTCTGAATACGGCCTGATTTAATAAGCCATTTTTGTTTCATTCTGCTACCTTTTTTTTATCTAATGTGTGGTTGTAAATGGAAGGAGAAAATAACTTACGCCAAGCGTTGGGTAAGTGAATTTTTCAGGCATATCTTACGCCAAGCTAGAGCGTTGGGTAAGTGAATTTTTCAGGCATATCTTACGCCAAGCTAAAGCGTTGGGTAAGTGAATTTTCTAGGCACAACTTACGCCAAGCTAGAGCGTTGGGTAAGTGAATTTTCTAGGCACAACTTACGCCAAGCTAGAGC